GGATAACTCATTTGCTTTGTCAAAAAATTCGCTCAGAGAAAATTGCAAATTTCACAATGTCTTGTTCCTTTTTTGAAATGACAGACACTAAATCTACATTAAGAAATATTTAAGAACTAAGAATCTTTAAAAAAATATTCGTCTCCAGATATGAGCTCATTTCCTCGAGGATATTTATAGTTGCGAGTGTTTGAAACAATATGTGAAGAACATGCTGTCTGTTGGTGATGGAATAAGACTTAAGCAGATATGCATGCATCTTCAAAGAAATGGGCTAGAAATGGTTTCAACCAGGGTGAAGATGTCCAGTTATTTGTGTATCTAAACATCCCATCAATCTCAATGCCTGTTCCACACTAGAGCCCAGCCGCAGTAAACACAGTTAATGGTGTATGTAAATTTCTTCTGTAAAGGAAATCAGTGAGTTCTCTTGTTGTGGAGGTGAGAAAAAGATGCTCGGCTTCTCCCTAAAGGTTATCGTCGGAACATCAGAAACAAATTTCTTGAAGACAAGTTGGCCGATATGTCACCTGTACATTCCGGGCTAAGTCGCTGCTTCTGTTGAGGAGGCATGGTGCTTAGCAGCCCACTTACAATTGATGTGCAATGTTAGACCAGTGCCTGTCAGTGCAACATGTGCAGCTGGCTAGCCTTTGACCTCAAGGCTAACCAGCCAAATCCTGCCGGCAAAATGGGAGACACTTCTGGTCAGGGGTTACAACCAAACACTCAATTTGCCCATCTCGCTTCTAAGACCTGATACGCTATGAAGATAGCTGAAAGTTTTGTGGGAAAACTCCAAGCCCCGCTTTTTTCTTTAATGAGATTTTGAGCCCTTAATTATTTATCTGATGCAGATGTTTTAGGATGGTAAGAAATATTGCTTTAGACATTATGCCTACAACCTCATGCAATGAACTCTCATAACATGTTAAATGTGCTGGAACATTTTTGAAATACCAGGCGTTCTGGAAGTTTTCAGGTGTTTTTCAATTTTATGGGAAGGATAAGCTTAATAGACATTTGACCCTGAGATCATTGCTAGATGAAAATTGTTTCAGGACTGTCACAGATGATTGTGTTATCCCAGGGTATTTGGAGTGGAACATGGAACAACAATAAGTGTTAATCTAATGCTAAATAGCGTTGACCTCTTGCCTCAGACTTGTTTCGCCAAGTGTGCTCTTTTGTGGCGAAGTCTGAAAAGAGTTATCAGTCTTGGGTCTCAAGCTCACAGCACGCATTACAAGCGGACAATGCGCGTGAAAAGAAAGTTCCCCGACATGCTGTTTGCCGTCAAAATGCAAACAGTACAGCATAAATTGGCACTCGCCGATATGTTGACATAACAGACTATTGTGTCATTTCGACACAAGCTGGTATTGAAGCTACCTCCACGATAGCACAACAAAGAAGATCGGGAGTATATGTTTCATACCCCTATTGATGCCACTACAGCTCTCTACGACACTTGGAGGTAGTTCGTGTCCATTGCAAGCCTGCAGACATGCCTTGTCATTTAGTTAAGGGATAACTAGATATGATTTTCATATCATAATTGATTAAAAGGGAATCAGATTTTCTAATACAAACACTTGCTTTGTGTGTTCGTGCTCTAGGTCATATCAATTGAGGGTTGTAGAAAAGATGGAAGTGTTCAGCTTAATCTGCAGTGTCAATATACCAGGTTTAGGGGGAGAATGGGCCAGTGAAAAAAAGGGGGAGAAAGGAGTGCTAGAAAACTGGCAAGTGGGGGGTTACATTTTTCAAGGATGAATAACTCACTTTGGTGACCCAAATTTATTGATTGCAGAATATTAAAAAGAAATCCAATATGGTGTGTTTAGATTTGAAATCATTTTTGGTTTTTGTGACAGTTGGTTGCTTAATTGAATAAAAATGATTTTTTCATGTTAATGTTTGAATTGATAAACATTTGCATATTACAGTCGGGAACATTTATTTTCTTTTAGTTAGATTTGACAATGACAAATGTAAGAAACAAAAATCGATACCCATCTTCTTGGCCATGCATACAGTGACTGCCATTGTTTGAAAATATAACAAAAGAATGGCTGGATATTTGGGGGGCTTTCAGGCAGTGGGGGAGCTTTAGGGGTGGACGTTTAGGGGCATGTTGAGCCCCTTTTAGTGCAGCACTTCTAGTTCTGGTCGGGTGGATCAACTTACAGCATGGATGATTCCGTGCACATGGCCACGGAGACACATTTGAAACTGTGTGACACATCAACGTGTGTGTCACAGCCGTCTATCCCACACAATACCCCATCGCAGATTCATATTTCACGGGACGTCTCATAGTCGAGAGGAATTTTGTTGATTCAGTGGAGCATTAATATAAGTAGATGTGAGAGTTGAGACGAGTTATTCATAAATGTAAATAGATATCATACTCCAAGGAGGGGAAGAATAGACGGCTCTCCAACTTGACACTGTTAAGTCGTAAGGCTGCAATCGAGACCGTATTATTGCACATGGTCGACGCTCGTAGTGCGAAACCAACCGTGCTTCATGTGTGTCCAAACTGATTTGAATATTATGAAACTGGTATAAAGTTTCGCTTGATGACAAGAAATGGCGAATGCGCCCATGTTATGATCAGATGTCACTGCCTCCTACGCGTAATATGTCTCTTAATTCTTTACCCATGATGCTCTGCTCAGTGTCGTCGCCATGAAAAACATGCCACAACAATAGGCCTATTTTCCATGCTGCAAAAAAGATGTCATTTTTCTGCACTCAGATCGGAGGACTATTTGCAGCGAGATCGCTCATGATCGACAGATGTGCCGAATTAACGCGACCCATCCTCCTCCACCTTAGGGCATTAGCTAAACACTCTTCTATCTCCCATGAAAAGGCTTCTCCAACAAAATCACAGGTTAATTTAATCAAACAGCATCTTAAGGTGACAATTACTGCAGAAAACAAACTCAATTAATGGATTTAAATAAAGAATGCAACCTTCGGGAAGCTAATCTGAAAAGGAACTTTCACAAGAAACTAATTTCAAATTAATAAAATTGAAACGGTTTTAAAAGATTACCCCCAATATTATGTTGACAGTTTTGATGAAATACTCTGTAATTATGATATGGATGAGAAATATTCTGAAGATTTTTTTTGGTCCTTGTGGATATGACTAAAATGGCAAACCAAAAATTGCGCTTCTTTGTAATCAATCATACTAAGACAAGCTGATTCTTAAAAAGAAAGTCTGTGAATTTGAGTTGTTTAAGGGAAGTACAAAAAGAATTTGTCAAAATGAAATTTTCTAAATTTGAATTTTGAATTTCAAATTTCAAACCAAACTGAAACATACATTTCATGAACAATGTTGTAAAATCATTCAATAAATTTGAAATATATATTAATTGTTTACAGTTTCTTAATTCATTTATAAGGAACACCTATGGATGATATATTTGCATTAAAAACAGCTGTTTATTTGTTGGTTTGCAGGGATGTGATCTGTTTTCATTTCATTGAAGGCACAACCATGATCAATAGTTGATTTGCCTGTCTCTGTATAACTTTCACAGAACCGGGGTTGTTGTGTCCGCCTTGTCATTTGTCACCGATGGCAACACCAGCCTCATTAATAGACACAGGATTTAATTATGAATGTCTCATGAACTCAGCACTTCTGTTTTGTGATCTTTTCACTAGGTACCTGAATAATTAAGTTAGTCTAAAATGGCTTAAGTGAATAAACAGGGAACCCTAAACAAGGAGACTTTTCAGGTCGGTGACCGTGAGAGACCGTTTAACTTCATTCCGACTATGTCAAACACAAGTATTATTGATTGTAAACATATGATAATTACTGTTATTGTATTGGTAATTATAGTCTTGGGATAGATATTTGTCATAAGGATGAAAATCATATTGCATGTATTCATATCATGTCCACTTAGATGTCTGTCTTGCCCTTAATGTACACTTAGTAGCAAAGGTCTTTCCAATTAACGTCAAGTCTGACATGTTTTTTGCGCAATACGGCAGCTTTTATATCTGCCAGTACAGTGTATTTATTTTGCCGATTCATCCATTTTGACAACAGAATATTTTGCGGAACAAACACACTTTTGTTGCCATGACGACTAATGACACTGGTTCCATGCATCTGTTGTGTTATGACAATAAAAATTCGGTCTATGTGTTTCAAGCTATAGGGTCTTCATTTACACTAGGAGATATTGAATTAATGTGTAATACGTTCCCGAGAGATTAGGCAATCAAACTATCCCTATGGGAACACAATGCTATGTCATACATACAAATTTAATAAGATCGACGATAAAGAACGTTGATTGATATAACATATATTGGAATTATGCAGGCACCAAAAGGATTCCTTCATCCGGCCATCGGAGTTTGATCAAATAAAGTAAATGTATGATGTATGCTGACAATTAATGTGTCATTTGCTTTTACAATTTGGTAGATTTATAAAAGCTATGTGATGAGGTTTGAGCTCGGAAGGATTGTTGGCAAAAATAACTTGCTTTTAAAGAACATTGTCAGTTAATGGATGCTTAACAATTAGGTTCCATATTTTTGTTATTTGATAATTCAAATGTCAGTAGCAATTACACAGGAACTTGAAACAAGTTGGATTCCCATCGGAACCAGATATGAGGTTATTTCAATCATGAACATCACAAATGTGTTTGGATTTAGCTCACCTGAACAAATGGATGTGTCTGAGTACATATCGTTTCTTTCTTCATTTGGTGATATACACTAAGAATTTTCAAGTGTTTTGTGGTATTTTTGGTTGTGTTTTATGATTATCAAGTTTTAACGGTTCATATTTATAGGAAGTTAGAGATTTTTCTAATGACTTTAATCTAGGATTTCCATGATGACTTCCTGGTTCAATGATGTATTGATAATTGAATAGAAAAACTGAGTGTTATTTAGTATTTATAGTTGTTATTTTTGCATTATGTCTAAAGGTTCTTCCTCTGTTTCAGGTTCCACTCCTGGGGATATGCCAGCACCCAATGCTAAAGACGCCCATGTATGTGGCGAATGTAGGGCAGAATTTCTCGATCTTGAAGGTTTTATTGCTCATAAGCAGACGTGTACAAAAAAGAGAATTGTAGTCATGATTGATGCCGAAAACAGACCAGGCGATAATGAAATTCGGCCTAAGTCCCCATCAATAGAATATGATGATGATGATGACATAAGGTCACAACCAGATGACCTTGAGGGTGGCTCTGATGAAAATGATGTCAATGACCTTGACTCTGTAGACATGTCAGAAGAGGGCTATGGTATGGGTTTGGGTGTGAACGGGGAAAAGGACCTCGATGAGAATGACAATTTTGAGGAGGAAGAGAAGAAGGACAGTAACAATGACTCAGAGATGATTTCTCAATCAAAATATGAGCTAATGTCACAACTACCTCATTTATTTCCATTCTTGCCCAATACAAATGTGACTCTTGAGCCAATGTCCGAGACAAAAGCGGCTGTTGCCCAGTTCGCGGAGAACAATTTGATGCCACAAGATTTGGCGATGATGAGTGCAACATTATATAGTCTGCAACAGCAACAACTTGTGCAACTGCAGCTCATACAACAGCTGCAGCAGCAGCTCATTACTGGGCAACTTCAACAAAATCAACAGGCTGTTCCAACAACAACCTCTGCTGAAACAACCTTGACCCCTTCTGATCCTCCCAGTTCAGAGACCCAAGAGTCATCTGCTCCTGATTCGGAAGATAAGAAAGAAGAGGAATCGCCATCACCAGAGGAACCGAAAAAGGCAGTTTCATCATCATCGAGTAGTTCTACTTTTACGACTCCTGCTCTATCTACCCCGCTCCCATCTTCCGGGCTATCCGCACTTTCCGGACTTTCCGGACTGTCTGGACTGTCTGGACTCTCTGCATTTAGCCAGCTTCAGAAAGAGGCTGTTTCCACGTCGCCAATGATGCCGCCAATGCCCAACATGAACATATCAACACCTGAAGTTCGACACAGAGGGACGAGTAAGTACTTCTTGAATACTTCTACATATATAAATCATTGTTTTGGTTCCTTCTTTGTAACAGTTGAATTAATAGTTAACAGGCTAACTATATTTTTGTTCTGTTCTTCATTTGGTATGGGTTCTTTTTTATTGTTTCAAATGCTAACTTTCTCCAAACCAACACTAAAATGCAAGACTGCACATTGTGATGTTTTAAGCATATTTGTGAAAAGTTTGGTGTCCAAAATAGAGAAATTGTACTGTCCCAATTCCATGACTAAACAGATTTGTTTTATTGGTGAGAATTTTGTGGAAAGACTCCTTTCAACAGGAAAGTCACATCCTTTGAACCAAATGGAGGCGTGAACGTGCTTGTGTTATAGGTTGGGAGTATCTCAAACATGGTCGACAGAGTTTTAGCTTCTGGGATTCCTTCGTGTACAAAAGTCACATTCATTTGTCATAGATTTGTTTGTCTTATGTATTAAGATGCTTCTCTAAGTAAGTAATGTTTATTCATAACAAATAGCTGGTCCGCACACACAAGGCCCGGAGACACATCCCATGGATGTTGTGAGTTTGCCTTGTGTTTATGAATGGACTTCATAATACGGAGTGGCCTGTTTGGCCAGAAAAAACTTAATCCAGTTGAAATCAGCTGATTGTGCTTCTGTTGTTTGTTCTTCATTGGCTGGTCAGAAGATGTGAAAGAGAGAAAGGGTTAAAACGTGATCATCCCTCTGTACGATGGTTCTGCACTTTGTCGGCAAATAACTTCCATTGTCTTTGTAGGCATCTGAAAAAAATGTCACAAATTCATGTGTATTGTAGATTATGTTGATAAACAGATTGTCATTTCTCAAAGGACCAACAGTGTACTTTCCATTTCGGGAATTTACCAAATCTCTGACAAAATTTTCAATTCTCAATTTTCAAAGTAACAGCTGAAAAGAATAATTTAAATTGTATTTGACTTCAGATTTGAGATATTCTATTTCTGTACATGCACTTATTTGGAAAGGACTTTAAATTATATATTTAGGAGAGTATCTTGTTACTCAAGCCAAGCAAAATATTTTTTTAAGTTCTGCTTCATAATGAAATATTGTACATTAATGTAAATGTGGGGAGAGATGGCGTTTTATCAATACATCCCAGGCAGTAAAACAGCTATAAATATTTAATAGTATCAAAATTCTCTCAGAATGAAGTATACTTGTCTCTCACAAAAGTCCAGTGATAGCAAAGGCTCGATAAAAGAACGCAACCTGACCCTAGCCACATAATAGACAAAACAAGCATATGATACTGAAGGGTATATTTCATGGTCCGGATTATCAAAACATACTCATATACACTAAGCACACACTCTCCGAATTATAATAGCCACAGGAGTGTCACTTTTGAACAATAGAATCCACAGATAAGGAGATGGATGATACGTCGTCCTGGTGAACAAATATATTTCATATTTATATGGATTGCTGAGAGTATTAAGGTGTGGGTGATGAACAGGTGCAGTGTGCCATGATTCATACGACACAGACCATAGGAAATGTTTTCTCATATACAAACATATCTTCATGACTCAGTAGAGAAATTATTTGGCTGGGATAGGAAGCTACTCAATTACCTACGTGATAACAAATTCGCTGTGTTTGTGCCCCGTTGGTTGTGAAACGCAATATTTTAACTAAATACTGAATCTGGATCCTGGCTTTGTTTACTGAGGGTGGGGGAAATGGATGGCAAGGGATGCTTAGATACATTCTACAGTTGATGATGTGTCAGAAGTCCATCATTTCCGCTGAATATATGTAATTATCAAACACTGCTTTTTTTCATTGTAATGCAAAGCATCTACTATGACGTAGATCATGAAAAGTTGGATAGGCTATAAAGGATGTTTGTCATTTATTTAGGACTTTTTTGGATCCGCGTTTGATTTCTTATATATTTGTAGGAGTGTGAGGTAGCATTTATCTTGTGAATCTGTCTAAAATATTTGACAGGATTTATTCCAATATGGGTAAAGAATATAATATATTGAAGAAATGTGTTTAAAGGTCTTGGATAATCGAGATGAAATGGGTCAGGTTTTGAATGATTGACACTTGAATATTGCTAATGTAATAGCTTGAATCAATCATTTTTTAAAACACTTGCATCGAAATCTATGGTACTTTTATTTCAAAGGTGTTGACATTTCCAGTTACACATAAACAGGATTACTCTGATCTTAGTTTGAAACATGAAAATTTGTCAAATCATATTTAAGTTAACAAGATGTTGAGAATGTTGAAAATGGATTTTTTTACCTATTTAAGCAAGAGAGTTCTGTCAATTTCCCCAGAGATGCCTTTCAACTCTGTTATTTTTCTTCAAATACTAAGATTAAAACATCTGTGAAATAGTCAAAGGGCCATGAGGGTTCCCGAGAGACGTCAGTTTTTGAAATATGAATATCATCTCTCCTAAATTTTATATTTAAAGAAAAAGACTGGTTTTTGAAGTGACATATAAAGTAATATGTTGATTGCTTGTGTCAGTGGTGAACTTCTGCCATAGCCCGACATAGTCAAGCTAGCTTTATACTTTGTAAACAAATGGCAGCTCCCTTTGATGTTAGGGGATGTTAACATAGACGAGAAATGCGGCATGTATACGTCTTTTTGGGGAATTTCAACACAAGCCTTCAGCCTCCGACTTCTTATAATTATACATATGTCTTGCTTACTTTGAAGTACACGGATCAAAGCTTGTATCAAAGTTAAAATAATGAGCAGGGAATATGATAAAATATTATTTTATACCCCAGACCTGAGTTTCCTAGAATGCACATTGCTCAGCCTGGCACCAGCTCCGAGCTATAACACACGCGCAGAAACTTTTTTTGGCCAAGTTTTGACATAAGCATCATTTTGCGAGCTTACTTGCCTATTACAAAGCATTATGCTGAGGCTTTTGATTCAGTTTACGTTTTCTTCAAAGAGGATGGGTTGTTAAGTGTTCATACAGGACCAGTGTTTGTATGTAGGAAGTGAAGGATGCTGGGTAAAGGGCGGATAATTTGGTTTTGATGACGCGCGCTTTGGTTTCAGGTTTGCCATAGGCTGGTCATTAAGTGTACTTTAATTGACAAGATAAATATCTCAGGCCACTTGTGGGACGACTTTCTGTGTATAACAAGTTCTCATCTATAAAAGTCTAGAATGTTCTCTTAGTAGAGAAGTAAGATTAATGAGGAAATACTAAGAATCTCGGCATGCTCTTAATTTTGTCATGTGATTACGCTTGATAATAACATACATTCGTTGGTTATTTGTAGAAGATCAGTCACTCGGACAGTCAGTGATGTTCAAAGTTACGATGGTTGTCGTTGACAGATGGGAATAAACTCCACTTTTTTTATTTGAAAAAAATGGAAATAACAGTGATATTACATGTTTAGTTGAATAAATGTAACATGAGTGTAGGTTTCAAGTTTGTCATGTGGCATACAAATGTTGCTACTTCATGTATAGCCCAAGGATGAATCATAACTTTCACAATAGAAATAAATAGCAACCGACAAGAACTAGCATACTGTTTCAATATCTCTTCCGTACAAATAAATTCACGATTCGAGCATTGTGATTTTCCAGGCTTACATTTCACACTTACTTTGTGGTAAAGCAAACAAGCTTTAACTTGTAAGTAAAACTTCAAAGCTGCCTGATTTACGAGGAGTTCTTTAGCAACAGTATGTAAAAGTGGTTTTAGTCTGATATTAGCTAATGTAACAAATGACTTGTGCAATGAATTTTTCACACACACTCAACTTAACCCTTTTAAATAAATCACACGATACCGTTAACCCCTGACCTGTTAAATCGCCTGACTCATTTCACCCGTATCCCGGCACACAAAGTAGTTCCTGAAACTGGCAACCAGGATTAATCTGTCAGTTTTAGCGATATTCACAAATTTGACAGCCATGAAGAGAATTATTCTGATATCTTTTATAAGTCATATAAATTGTCCAACATCCTTGTGTGCGTGAATTGCACATAATATTCTCAAGATAACCTTCTTGGCCTATTGTCTCCACATTGTAAAAGAAAGTTTCCTTGGCAGTTTGGTCGAGCGGTAGAAGTCATCATTGAACATTGCAACTGAAATGAGGGGTCGTAGGTCAAAGAGGAATAATTGTTCATGGGGTCAGGAGAACATTAAATCAGCTTTCAAGAATTTATTCATAATCATGGCTCCGAATACTCATTTGTGTGTCTGCAAGAGGATTGTGGGATATCAATGTCTGCCGAGACAATCGCAGACATTAATGAAATATTTGATCGGTGTATACACACCCCATTTGGGCCTCTCATAGGGTCATGTTATACACTGCACTATTGTCAGTGGCGTTTTCCTGAATACTACTTTGAATTATGAGTTACCCTAAACTCTCAAGCAGTTAAGTCCGAGGCACACCTGTATTTTATATTGTATTGATTTATGGTATAATTTTAACATGATCTCTGATTTAATGTTAGTTTGGATCTGACTTGATTTAAGTATTCAATGTTGTTTGAGACCACAAACAACTCAGAGCTTTTGTTAGTTGTCTGGAGACGGTATGTTTGTGTAAACTGAAATGGTTATGAAGATTTATGATCAAGTTTTGAATTATGAGGCAATGTTATAACAGGTAAAATTTCATTTCATGTCCTCAGTGACAAAAGAGATTTAAGAAAGAGGAATATTTGCATTTGGATAACTTCGATATTATCTGTGATGTATTTGACGTAAGATATAAGCTTGAAGGTTTATTAGCTGTGAGATGTAAGGGATAATGATAAATTGTACTTAAGATATCTCAGATTATTTGCCTTTTAAGCCATTTTCCTTTTTACTTACAAATATCACACAAGTTCTGTGTGAAACATTTGCCAGGTGTCACTCTTCAACCCAAGTGTCACACGAATTGGCTGGAATATCAAAACAGAAATAAAATAAGTTTTGTTTCATCTGTTTAGGTTT